CTTAGTATTACAATGACCTAATTAAAAAAAAAACACTTTTTTGGCAAATCGTATAAAACTACGATGATGGCGTTATTATAGTAATGTCAGTGCATTTATCTAATTTTGCTTAAATTTTGAGTTTAGTCACTCTAATACTAAGCGTGCGAACATGTACTACTCGCGTAAACTTCAGACAGAATTAAACGATAACGTACGATGGGGCGGGAATTGGAAAAAAATACTCAATTCATATTTTACTAGGCAACGTACGGCGCAGTAAATCATAATCGTAAGTTAAACATTAACGTTATATATGTTTACGTAAAATTAATTAGAGCACATTTATTATTGGACGGCAAGACTTGGGCGGAAAATGATATTTCAAACAATAATTTAGGCGGAAATCTTAACAATGTTTTCCGTACGTGACTCGCTGTTACCTAAAAGAACAAAGACGAAAATACATTTCTTCTCGCGATAAGGCGTTATCTCGTCCTAAATATTAGCTATATAGCTAATATTATTCACCGGAGTTTGTTGGAGCAATCTTATCATAATATATCAAAAGTTTGTTTGCGTTTGAGTGGTTTAATCGCCTTAGGTTCACCCCCACTGTGCTTTTCCCTTACAACAATTTCCTCCTACTGGCATCATAATTATTCTGTATATTTTATTATATAAAACTTGTAGTAAAAACTTATAGGCAATTGCCAATACTCCTATTATAAAACGCCAATTGACGAAATAAGAACATTTTAAATTTTTTGGAGGTTTCCTTGACTTACCTACGCTTGTATTTTAGCCTTACAGAAGTATAGAACACTAGCATTTTACAAATTAAATAAACATTATTCCACGCTTACCATTCACTTCGTCCATAATATTGAAAAACGGTTAGTGACCTGCAGCGTTTCGTTTGAAGGCAGAACTTATTCAAAAGAAAGGGCATATGTGTGCCACATTCGTGGTTCTTTTGTTTTACGCGTCATACACTGTTTATGCTTATAAGTAACCTATAAAATACTTAACTACCAGTAACAAACACAAATGTATCGCATTTTGAAGCTAACTACATGAGTCTCTAGTAAGATCGTGGAATTTATCCTTAAAATATTTAAACATTTGTCACTCAATTTAGTCGAAACGGCTAGACGAAATTTGATATAATCTGCCAATTATGTGCAAAAGCGAAGACACCGTGAGTCAAGTCTGCAAGGACCCGGCCAGTTTCGCCAAATGCCAACTTCAACGGTACAGATGGCGCTAGCGTAGTCATTTTTACTTTGACGTCAGAGACTTTCCTCTTAGTCTCCCTGTGACAACACGATTCGGATGCTGCAAAGAATCCGAAACGTCGGGCCTTAGTTAACAATAATTTTCAAAAAAAGTTTAACTAAAATAAATCGCCTTTTAAACCGTTAAAATGTTTTATGTGAATTATATGTCTTATTACTTTAAATACCTCATAACTCCAACTGACGCGTAAGTGACCAGCTCGTTAGTCAGAAGTTGTATCACTAATTAATCGACGGGCCGTGGATTCGATTCCTTTTGGGGTCTAAAATTATGTATTAGTATTTATTTTTACGTGTAGACTTCGTCTGGAAAAGATGTTAAATATTCCCTTTTTCTTCACTCTTCAAAGTAATGTAAGCTAGAATAATTTAGGTGTTCGGTGTGGTGTGAAGTGAAAGGTTTTTAGTCTCGCCGGGGTAACGATGTTAAAGTTAAGTGATATTCGCCTCGGGTGGTCCTTAAATGCACTGAAATGGGGCAAGAGGTTATGTCGGTGCCTAATTGCGTATACATCAAGTGGAAGAACCTTTCTCGCTACTTGAAAGACTGAATTAATGCTAAATAAACCCTTAAAAACTAAGTGTTAATAGAGTTTTTAAAAAACTTTTAACACTAGCTTTCCTCCGAAGCGTTACCTGTTCCTGAACATATAATAAATAGCTTAGATTACTAGATATTAGACCGCCTTTGTAGCCAAATGGTTGAACGTATTGCCTAGCATTGCGTTAAGCGCGAGAAGGTCCCGGGTTCGAATCTAGGGAGACAAAAAATTGTTTCGGTCAGGCAAGGCACAGAAGTCTGATTAACTATTTGCCGGAAAAAACGGCTAAGTGTAACGGAACATAAATGTGTTCGCCCATTCCCATGAGGGAAAGGGATTTTAACAACTAGATAATTAGCTCTGGATATGGAATCTGTTAGTCTTTTAAGGTAAGAATAAAATAACAGAAATCGAACAATAGTTCGTATATTAGAACGAAAGAACTTTTTATACTGTCTAGTTTAGCGATAGTACACATTTAAATAAAATTTAACGGATTAAAACATATATTAGTTAATATTGTAAAATGTTTTTTAACTCCCTTTTAGTCTCCCCGTGACCACGGCTGCTGCAAAGCATCCGAAACGTTGGGCCGAGTCTTCAATAGTTTCTAATATATCGCGTTTTAAACCGTTAAAGTGTTTTATTTAAAAAAAAGAACCTTTATATTGTAGATTCTTGTAGCCAAACTTATTATTAACTTAATTAGAGTACTTTCAATATCAAGATTCACGCAATGCTGCTCGTTCATTAAAATACAACTTCTCAATTTTAATTTCCCCTGGGACTCACGAGATTTTATAGACGCCATTTTTCACTTGCGTATTTATATATTCAAGACCTAGAAGGACAGACAAGCTTAGTTTTCATATAGACAGAAACAGCCCAGCCCTATAACATCTAGGGTGCGCTGTCGACCCATTTTGTTTTTTGACATCCGGGAAAACAGATTAGAAGACTAATAAATAACTAATTAAGTGTTTTAAAATTAGTTTAAAGATGCGAGATAAATATGTATGCATTTGTGTGGGTATACTTTGAGGGTAGGTATGTACATAATTTAATAAGGGAATATAGCTAGGCGTTAGTTTGTCGGCGAACACGAGCCGAGAGGCGTCGATAATTGCATAAATGCCCGTTGAAATTGGTTGACAATCCAATTACCAACCTCTGCACTCAGTCTGCACTTGACTTGGCGAAAATTATTGTGCCATCTCAACACTGAGTCTTAATAGAAAAACGGTGATATTATGCAGGACCGATTTTAAAACTAAGAAAAGAAGAAGTAAAGATAACAGACAAAATAACGACACATATCGCTTAATGATAATTATAATCCTGCGCATACAACTTGATCGATTTTGATGAAACTTAATGTGAATTGTAAAAATCGTAATACATAAAGTGTACGGTTTACTTTGTAGTCAATACTTATTCATAAATATCGCTTTAAGCTGATTTTTACATGGTCTTATCTCCGTAAGTAGACTAGCACGGGAAGCCTTGATAAAAATGAAACTTGGCGATGAATTTCTTCTTTTTTATTCTTCCACCTTAATTATTTTTTAAACAATAAAATTGAATGAAGAGTCTTTTATGAGTACGTTGGTTTTTATTTTGATCTAAATGTGGTGAATGTTATAATTTGTTGATACAAACGGACCTAATTGTGAAATCCAATATAGATTTCGCGCACTGGGATGAGTTGTGTTAATGATGTCACCTAAATTGCTTAAATTGACGTAAATTAGCCCGTTCTCGTTGATTATACAATTGAGTTAATTAATTTGACGCAGATTCAATTAGCGCTAAATTTAATCGAGATGGTTAATTTCGTATCGGGCTTTAATGCAATTAAATTTTCTTCGTGTATTTACAATATTTTGGTCTTATATTTGGATTTTCCTGGATCTTATGTCTAAGTAAATACTTGCAAATACTGTGTACATTCTTGTTTCCGTTTTTTATTTAAGAGACGGATTGTACTGATCTAGGATTTAAACTCGGGACGTTTTGCGCTGAAGCCTAGTGCCAAACTTTAATATTTTTCACATGTTTTCGCACATATTGGCATTGTATAAATTGAGAATTAATTTAGATTGGAAAAAAATCCATTAGAGGTGCTACCAATTGAGCTTACCGTGTCAACATTTCAATCTTAAATAAATCTACAAACAGAACAGAAAACTAACGGTTATATTAATTTTGACATGTTCATTGGTTCAAAATAAGGTATAAGTTAATAAGACCAGGCGAAACGTATTTTAAAATCTTTCTGGAATATACTTCTCCGTTTAGTGGACTCCATGCTAGTCTACCCTCAGTCATAAATATTCAATCATAAAATCGAAGTGTAGGTGTATCACATCAAAGAGCTTTAACTCGCGCATAACAATCACCGCAGAGCTTACATAAACACTACATTGCGGTCAAGGGAAACTGTATCTCAGTTGTTGCGTGTGGATACATCGCCTCGCTTAGGATGGGTGCAAACGAGCTGTCTCGTGCAGCCTAGTGGATCAAAGGGGTATTAGGCGAGTTTGAATGATGGATTAAAAATATTGATGCATCAAAAATCTGTAGAAATGTGAACACAAATAGAAAAGTCTTGTTTTAACTCTTATTTTTATATTTGGAAATCTTAGCAACTAAAATAAATAAACAATCTAGTAATATGGAGAATAGACAACGAACGCTAAAGCTTTTCACTTATATCTTTTATATACTTCTTATATATTATCTACTACTAGCTAGTAAATTATTTATTATTGTATTATATGTACAAAAAAAAATCAATTTATTTTCGATTTTTTAATTACATAGTTCCATGGTGTACGATTTAGGCACTAATATCCACCGTCCACCATAGATGGTTTGTAACCGACCCGAGTTATACAACTAAACCTGCAATAAAGGTTAGTTGAGAAATAAACATGTACGTACGTATATGTGTATCAAAGTACTATAAAACACTTTTTTGTTTGACTGGCATACGATGTCTTTCGAAATAAAGGATTGTAAAATGCGATACGTACTGAGTTTTCGTAGATAAGCGAATGTACTTAGGTACTTACATTCAAACAGATTTAGTATGTAGTATTGTCTATGTGCAGTTTAAAAATTGCTAATTTAATAATTGCTGCTCTTTTCGTATATATAATGTCTATTTAAAATGTTTCAGAGGAAGAATGCTACCACTGCATGGCCAGCCTGGTGGCATCGAAGGAGAAGATGTTCATCACGCAGACGAAACTCCTCAACGAGGTGACATGGAAGACTGTCATGCAGATTGCCAAGAAGCATGCCGTAAGTTTGGATTTACTTTAGTTAAGATATTGAGTATTCAATATTTGATTCGCGATATAGTAGGCGTTGAAAGGTTTAACATTTTAAAATTAATGAACACTTCGTATTAATTAAAAATCGAAAATAGATTTTTTTTAATGTTGCTGGTAAGAGCAACAGCACGGAACGCTGACGATGCCACTGGTTCTAATTCTGCCCGATTCGTATTTTCTAAAATTTATTTTACGAGTATATAGTGCCATCATGTGAAAATTATTATAAAGTAAAAACACTTAGGTATGGAAAGCCTAGTATAATTGAAACGCACTGGATTGTATATACGACTACTTTATTAACAAAGTGCGACCTCTACCCCTTTTTAAATTTCAGTATGTTAAAAACCTATTTATAGTCATTATAAACGTCTCTCTTATTCGATTTTAATAATATTATCACTATTCAATTGTTATTGTTCTCTACACAATACAATTAATACTAGAACACACCTATACCAAGGGCAAAACATTAGTAATAAATAACTTATCCATATAAACAGTTGTATTCGAGCCACAATGTGATGTAATGCTTTATAACTGCGTAAAACTCTTGAATCATAAAACCACGCCTTTTACCATTTTGATGTAATGTTCCGTCGTAAAAATTGTCTCGAGACACCAATAAAACGTTTGGCGGACTCGTTGGTGTAATCGTAGCGATGTATGGCTAATAATAAACATCGGGTCCTGGTTCGATCCCCACTCGGTCCAATATTTTTAGGAATCGTCGTTGTTGGATATTGACTTGACTTTCTAGGCCAGTTTGTAAAATGTATTAAGAAGCTCAGTTGATACTGGTGCAAAAACTAATTTTAAAAAGTCAACAGAGTACTTGTAAGTCGTTATATAAACGCCAACATCCCGTTTTCGAGGTTCAGTTCTAGTAGAGTCACAAGTAGAATATACCTACTCAGTATCTAACAGTTGTTTCAATCAGCCTTAACCTCCTACAGTCGTCGTCTATATCGGAATTTCGCACAGGTGGCGCACCACTGTCCACAGTCGATGGCACAAGAAAAGCCGTGAAGTTCAACTTCAGTCTTTGGATTTCCACAATGCAAAATAAGTCGACAGGGCATTTTGTATCGATGTTATATGGCTGGGTTACTTCACCTAACATCGAGTGACCCCACAGTTGCCTGTCCTCCTTTATCATAAAAAAAATTAAACCCGAACGTTTGCCACGTTTATGCTAATATTTGTTTAGTTAAAGTAAAAATAACGCGCGACCGGATTCGAATTAAACGTTATGAAAATACTCGAGTTGTGTTATTACTTTTTGAACGCTGTCAAAAGGAAGTCTGCTATATAACAATTTTTTTTTTAAATATTTAACGGTTTAAAACGCGATTTTTAGTAACTTATTAAGTTACTATAGACGGGGAGGGCCAACAACTTTTACTTAAAGTGTTTTATTTAATGGACTACCGGGTAACTATAGACAGTATTTAATTTTTTTGTTGTTTGATAGAGGGGGGCCGACAAACACGGGCGTCACAGCCAAATTACAACTTAATAAGATGCGCTGTTGTCCTATTTTGGCTTTAGATATACGTAAAATAAAAGGCTAAAACCGAAGGTCAGAGGTCAGTCAGGTCAGTCAGAGGTCCTCGGTTCGAATTTCGGGGAAACATAATTTCGATCGGACAGTGCGTTCAAAGCTCATCAATCACTTGCGAAAAATTTTCAAACGCGATCATTGAACCAGACACATATATGTGTCTGCCTTATTCTTTAGGTTAGTTAGAATTCACTTGTTCGTTGCCTCTGAAAACACAAAGAAAAATTTTAGTTCTTGTTATGACATAAGCCCATTACTTGAAAGCCTTTGTCCCTAGAACCATAGATTACGGCGTATAATTGGGTCAGCACACATTGTTACATTTATCATTACGTCGGTAACAACAGGAGTAGTCATGGGGGCATCGCGTGAGCCGGTACGTCGTAAAGTAGTGCTATTCGCGTCATAATAGCTCCACAATGCACGCGACCCCACTTCTGTTTACTAACGGAATTTAATATCGATCGCTTCCACAATCTACAGGTTAAGACTGGGTTTATGGCTCATAGGGTTAATATTGAATGAGTCGGTCTAGTGGGCCCAGTGGTTACAATATATCGCTTATTGCTAACGGATCATAGATTCGATTTCCACAAGGTCAAAAGTATTCTAAGTTTTACCAAAAGATTTTTTTGGGTTAGGCTGGACAAACGTGTCTGTAGTTTACGCGAGTAATACACATTTAAATAAAACACTTAAAAGAAATAAAAGCCTTTATTTCCTTTAAATGAATGTTTACATCTTTTAACTTTATCTAGTTTGAACGAGCTTGTATTCTTTAAGTACAAATATTATTTAAAAAATATCTTTAGCTCATTGGGAACCCTCTCGGGTGTGGTCCACCTCCAAAGTTGTCCATGCTTCCCGGTGTTGGGCCGTTTCCGCCCATTGCGGGCCAGCAATCGCCTATATGTCGTCGCCCCATCGTGCTGCTGGTCTCCCTCTCATCCCTTTTCCTTATGGGCTGTCCTTAAGGATACTCTTGCCGTCCACCTGTCGTTTTTTAATCTTGTTATATGCCCCGCCCATCTCCACTTCAGGCTACGTGCGAAGTTCAAAAAAACACTAAGTTAATATATAACCCGTTTTAAACCGTTTATTTAAATTGATAAACGTGGATGGGAATTTCCATTTATGCGGTTGGGGAGTACGTTTCGAACGCTCTAGTTCGCGATCAAGATAAAAATAGGCCGACAGCACATCCAGATTAGATGTGACATGGCTAAGACATGTCATCTATTATTAAAATATCCCCTGTTTTGTATGTTATACTTAATTAAATCGGAATAATCCTTACAAAAGCATAAATGTATTTCTTTGATGTATGCCGAAATCGTTATTAATCAATGATATTAATTAACGTGCTATTAAAGATAACGAGTCACGTTAGCAGTCACGTGTTTGAATCGAGAACGTCTGGAGTTTGTCTATACTTTGTCTAATATAGGTTGATAATTTGGAAAGCTTACGGTTACAATATATATGAAGTACTGACAGGTATCGCACAATAAGAGAAGCAATAATAACATTGTAAAATCAAATAAATGTATCTTGAAAATATTTTTCTTTTTATTTATTTTTTATGAATGATGGAGGAGACAAGTTCACTTGATGGTAGGTGAAATACCAAGCCTATTGCAACTAACAAGATGCGCTGTCCACGATTTTGGCTTTGGGTGAATACCCGAATCCAAAATTTCTGAATAGAAATCCACAGAATGAAACTTAAACGTGATTAAACTTAACGGCTTTTTCATCTGTGGACGATGGTTCGTGACCCGGACGGAATTTCGATATTCCTACCGCCCATTTAATAGCCGGATTTCCAGACGAAGTCCATCACGTTTTACAAAAATTATAAATTGATTAGAAAAATCATTAGCCGTAAATTACTACCATTACACCAACGAGCCCGTCTTATTCTGCTTATTGTAGAATCATTTCTTAGTAAGTATTTTAATATAAAATATTCATTTTACTATATATAATCCTGAAACAATAAAATAGATTTCATCATTGTCCAAATTATCAGCCTATATTAGATGTTTCTCATGAATTATCACTTTGATTTGTTGTTAACGGATTCCCGATAACAATACCGTTGTTGTAGCCATTTAAAGTTTGACTTATCAATTGTCTGAAATATGAAATGCGGGTCAACGACTTGCGTTCGTGTCCGTACGTGTACATCGATTTGTACTACCGTGCTGACTTTGCAGCTACTGTTTATTCAAAGGCTCTCGAAACGCTTCTATATACATTAAAAACTGGGACATTTTAGATAGTTGAAAAAGATGATCTTATCGCTGAAAAGTGTTTACTTTTCAGGCAAGCCTAAATAAACTAAAAGAGAATGATAAAGAAGAATTCTATACCCAGTAAATACTACTAAGTACCATAAATACCATCTTATAGTTCAACAATAGGTATAGACAATGTAACATTACATTGTCTACAAGTCCAAATTCAATGTAAATAGTATATACTATTACAGATAACGCGTCTATTTATAATCTAGAAATATTATCTTTGTTGACTAATTTGCTTAATTCAACGTATTGGGTGTCGAATGACTACAGTAAATATATCAAAGTATATTTATCACGATTATATAACTTTTAAATGGTAAACAAGGTTAAGATATATGTGTGATAAAATACTGTAATTATACCACATCGGTTCAAGAATCGGAATAAATTGTAGAATTTTCAAAGCCTATACACATTTTTGACGCTAATGCAAGTTTTTCTAAACATTTGCTTTCTTGGATACAATAAGAAACTCAACAGATACTGTCGAATGATTAGACTAGCAAGGTTTCCGTACAGCACCGCGGACTTGGTTGCAGAAGTCGGCCGCGCAACATCTGTCGCGACTCTCCGGCGCAATTGGCCCAGAACGCATCTACGCTGATTGGCAATGGTGGATTCTCGCCGCCCTGCCCTTCCCCCATCTTGTCAGAGTACTGGACTGCTTCTTTCACGAAGGCCTTAAGGTGAGGAATTTAGAGAAAGCTTTTGAGTCAGTAAAACTTGCATATAATTATTTCTTAAAAAAAACGGTTATTGGAATTGACTATAAGTTAATTATAGCTTTATTATTTCCCGAAAAAATATAAATGTATGTCTCCTAAAAGTATCTAAAACAACATATTACTATGGTATTTCCAGGTGTTCTACAGGGTAGCACTTGCGATCCTAATCCTGTTTCACAAACACAGCACCAATCAAAATTCGGAGTGGTACGCTGAAGCGACTAAGAATGGTGTTGATCACGCTATCGACAAGTTTTGTAGGAATATGCCGGCGTCTCCTACAAAGCTACTACGCACTGCGTTCAGTATAAGGGCGCTGAGGTTAGTATAAATAATTCTATAAGGATTAAATCTGATCACAAGTAGACTAACGAGATTAAAATACCCTCATCAAACAGTTCGCAGTACATATCGCGGGTGTTCATAAAGACGGAGATGACGCTCAAGTCCAAGCAGGTGATCACCGGCAACCGTCTGGTGCGGTCTAGGTCATCGGACAACCTTCCCACCAGTCAATCTCAGGTCAATATCCAGATGATGTCGCACACGTTAACTATACGCGAGGTAAGTCTACTGTACTTTAAATTTTAAAATAAGTTACCTGATAAGATGTAGGATTCTTAAGATTTAAAATCTCACCTGGTCATTTTAAGGTTAAGATGGCACTTGCGTCCAGAACATATTCTATGCTGGAGCAATGTTCTCTTAAGTGATTTTTATAGACATTATTATATTATTATTTCTATAGACATAAGAACGAAACCTCTATTAAAGGTGGTGGTATATACACATTATTAAGGTTCTAATAAATTGTCCTCTATACTTATATCTGTTGGACCTACAATTATTGGAAACCAGTGGCTGTTGAATATTATTAAAAGATAGTATGTCATATGTATTTATCTATATATCGATATAACTACACTAAAACGTATCGTGCTCCGCACACCTTATGTATGGTTTTATCTATGTACTGGCATATATTATATTATTATGTGTATTAGAAGTGATTTTACTTGGTTTGCAGAAAATGTCTGAGGAAACGTGCAAACAGATGGTATTGTACAAGAGAACTTAGGCGTGGCTTTGGCTTTTATATCATTGAATTCATTTCGGTTACGTTTCTAACACGACTAACTTCAAATACATCGAAATGAGAATACAAATTCGATGGACTTACATTTCTATCGAATCTATTGTAAGATAGCTCCTCTCTGTCCTCTCCCGATGTGTCCACGTGTTTATGTTATGTTTCGATCCGTGTAGCGAGACTTTGTCGATCCGTATCATGTTTTGTTCTCTCAATGTGATCACCAGACACGACACGATCATCAGACAGAAAATTACCTCCTCCGACTTACCGACGACGGCCGATTCGAAGTTCATTCTCATTGGCTTTGAATGGATTTGTTTATATTGTTTTATTTCAGTGTTTATATGTGATGTTTTATTGTTGATAAGTTTTAGTCGATCGTGGATGTGAAAGGTTTTGCGACACTCGGCATGCGTCTCTTGAGAACCGACACGAGTGTAAGTCGAGAGCGTGCGATGGAGCATATGTTAAGCTTAAATTAACAATAGACTAGGTTATAGGTGATATGTCGGCATGCGATCGACTGTTTGGTGTGTGGCTAACATTCGATTTTCCCGTTAGGGCTCACATTCGCCGGGCCCGCGCGCCCTTTCGATGGGCGTATATCCAATCCAAGCGATCAAGTCGCAGATTCTAGACCACAGCGAAGTAAGACGTAGTTGTAACATCAAACATCTGTCGCTCTTTAAGCTTGCGACGTTATTGACGTTTAGATGCACCGCTTGCCACTTAGGTGTTTATTTACCATGAACGGCGCAGTGCGTCGCTTCACGACATCGTGATGAGGTCGCTTCGATTTATTTTCCTTTTTGGTTGCGATTTTTTTGTAAGTGTGCGTGGTGGTCGGGTCAGATTTTATTTCAGTGCCCGACGCTCGGCTGGGTAGCGTCGTAGATAAAATCTGATCCGCCGACGATAACGATTGCATGACGGCCCGTTTTTACCTAAACGTTAGAGCTCTAATGCTACTTTTGTTCGGTTGAAAGCTATGTTTATTTTGTAAGCTTAATGTCATTAAGTTCAAAGCCAAATCAGTACCGTACTATCTCTGATCACATTTCACACTTCATTCTCACTCACTTCATCTACCCACCAAATTAGATCGACGTACAAGATAGATTTTAGTTTTATGTTCTCACCCGACCCGTTAGAACCCATACCGACAGCCATGATCATCGTCAAGGGTATTTGCAGAGTCCAAGATCCTCTCACCTGGCCCTGTGGTTCCCATTCCCTAACGCGGTGTTCAGCGACCAACAGCAGCATTCTTCTGACCTCAGACAGAAGGTTTGATTAGGGATTTAAACTAATTTCGGGTGTAGATGTGGAGGCAACTTGAAATTTGAATTAATGCTCTCTCTTCAAAACTACTACTCCCGACAGAATTAGTACAATAATCAATTACTAAAAAGCACTCGTTCTGGTTCTAAAATTTCTACTCATATTCTGACTTATGACTACTGACTCTTGCATTTTTTTATTTTTAAGAAAATAGCGTTCAAATTTATGAGTTTTGGAGAGAGATTGTCTAGTAAATTAATTACTGTCACAACTCACGGGGATACTGTACGGTTAGAGTACTAAAAATCACGTATTATTTCCAACACGTTCACATTGACAGACACATAATTCATCTTAATCATTTCACCGCTCGCTCTTCTAACACCATTCATTAGGTTTTTATTCTAGGACCATTTTGTTTCTTTGCGTTGAAACCATTCGTGGAGTCATTTTTACCCAGACACATGTAAATTCACTCTCACATCACTCGGGCAGCCGCTACTTTTGTATTGAAATTAGTCGTACTTCTAGGTATAGCGTTACCCACATTTGTTATATCTAGTATTTTATGATTATTGTAAATAGAATTAATTCCGTTACCGATCAACAGGTTTGCACTTAGTGTTACGGTCGAAATGTCTCCTGTTTTCCGTTTTATATCTAATGTTCATGCATGCGATGTTGTTTGTTAGTATAGTCATTGTTTACTGTATAAACGTCTAGATGTTCACGAAAATACTTGGCACCGTAGTCACTAAACACTGACACGACTAATTCTGTGCCGTCGATCTATGTTGTAATTTAATCATAAATTCTTTGAATGTGCGATTTTGTAACTTTACCTAAATATCTTAATGGTCAGTTAAAAATAGCTTTAAAATTTTGTCTCTTAATTTTATTTTAATCTTTAGCTAGATCTGTAGTTATAGTGTCATTATTTTTTTCATGTTCATTTGAAGTAGTCCGACCTTGCATCTTCCGGAAATCTTGATTCATATGGTGGAGGGTTTTTAGTTTGACCATTTGAAGACTAGAAACTTACTCTAGTATGGATATGACTTCGGGGTACGCACAAAATTTTCTAGGCAAGTAACCCCCACGATTTTCCATCAAGTCGTCTGAATATCCACCACCACATGTATCAAGTTACTCGATCCTCAGCACCACGCATGATCAAATACTATGACCATTCTCGCGTGTTCCAGTTATTCACTCTGTGGTCGTGGCTGCCCGTGCGCATCACGATGTACCAACCGGTACTGCTCTACACCACGGAGGAGCACGGGTGTTCCCTTACAACATTTTATGTGCGCGTGGAGCATCACGAACCGACTCTACTCATGATCAAGACTTGTAACAACGAAGTAAGATTATTTTTACTATAAGGAAATAAACTTTTTAACATCAACTTTTTTATATGAGTCCAATTAATATTTAATTTGGCTTTAGGATCTATAATGTTTTCTTACGAGAATTATTTTGATTCCGTAATATTATTATCATATATTTAAAAACCATAACGGATTTTAATTTCTAAAAATTTGATACCTTTTGAAACGCTTGTAATAAATTCCAGGTATTCGGTGCGTACTGCTCAACGCGTTGGTTCGAGAGGAACCAGAAGGACGAGAGGGGAAATCGACAGGCGTACTTCGGCACTGGCGAGACATTCCTCTTCAGGTAAGCGATGCAGTAGACGTCAATATTTTATTTTCTATTATCTTGCCCTGGATTTATAATACTCTTTCTTATTAGGTAGTTTAAAAGAAGGTAGTTTGATTATCCGAGGTTTTATTTAGCCCTCAAATATCTTAGAAAAATATTAATTAACCTTCTTATGGGATGGTTTAATTTTGTTTACCTTAACTTTTCACTTGTCTACATTATCTATATTTTTATTCTGCTTTGATTGATGCCATATATAGATATAGGCTATTTTTATTCCCACGTGTTTTTTAAATTAAGAAAATTGTTTAGTTCTTCGGGTAAAGGCTTTTTTGGTGCTTTTTCATTGTGATGTCAACACTGCGATGATATATATATCATTACACACACTAAATTGTATATATCACGTCTTCGTATTTTTTCATTTCAGCAAATAATTTAATAAGTTTTAAACATTATATAATGCATTAACTCACAATAATTATGTACATATGGGTAAAAAACATTGTTACTAAAATTTAAGTCATTGTTGTCTGTTTGGATGTACCAAGGTGTTGCCAGTTTTAAACTTGGGGTGTTATATTTGTAGAGGTATGAAAAAGTAAGACTAGTGATCAAGTCTTACTTTTATGCTACGAGTGAACAAGTATGTTCTACTTGCCTCTTAAGTAACAGTTTAGTTGTAGCTTTAAAAAATACGAATGTTATTGTCAATTAATAACAATTTTTTAAATTATATTTATTAAAAACAAAACAAAAAGATTTTCGTAATAGAAAGCTTATTTAATGGTTTACTTTAACCAACCCTGGCAACACCTAAGAATGTGTTTGTGACGTGTACCATTCGCTTGCAGCCTTTACCCGGAGCGTGCAAAGTACCCTTGGGTCGGTTGTTCAGCCGGCGACGGCAAAGAGGATCAGCGAGTCGCGCACGGCTCCGAACTCTTCATGGCAGCCGACTCCAAAATGATCACCATCGGAGGAGGGTCAGTATATCTTACTATTTGATTGTATTCAGCCTGCAACCCATTCGCGCCAAGTACCCGTGGGTAGGCATCGCGGAGGATGAAGATGGCGACTCGAAGACCTCCCACGCCAGCTCGTTGTTTATGGCTGCCGATAACAAAATGATTACTATAGGTGGAGGGTTCGTATTGGTCCTAATTTTAAATGCCTTTTGATTTCATTTTACAAACTATAAATAAATAAACATCGCATTCTGTAATATGCTTAAGAATTTTTTTCACCCGTTTTAAAATGGTTAAAAGAATGTAATAATTTCTATTTGTTTTACTTACCTTTTTTAGTACAATAATAAGCAATTACATTGTATAATCAAAATGATTCTGCTTACGAAATGCCCGATGTGATGTTCAGTACAAGGGAACTTTAACAACTCTCAATAAATAAATAATAGAGGCGAGAGAGGTAAAAGATGATCGTTTATTTGTTTTTAGCATAAAAAAACTAGATGCTCCGAGGCTCAACGCTGTTTGAGAAGGCCAGTTATAATGCAAATTCTCTATTTCCAGGGACGGCCAAGCAATATGGATGGATGAAAACATCCGCTACGGCAAGACGGACCGGTGCTCCACGTTCAACAATCCACCGCTCTGCCCCTCCGGCGACTTCGAGATTCGCGTCCTCGAGGTGTACGGTTTCGCGGGGGCGTAAACATCCCCTCCCTTGCCCCCCCACATCCGACACGGAGTAAAGTAATCTCGATTATGATTATTCCCGAGCGATACCGCTCTACGTAGTGTTTGTGGTTCGATGTACTCTGGATGAGTGTAGAATGCTTGCCGGTCGAGGTCGTCAATCGATTTCGCGTTTAATCGAGAAATTCACCGCATTACACAAATGTAATATTTTTCTATTCACCAACGAATTCAGTGCGCGACAGCGATGATATTTTCAGTATTCGGTTATTCAGAGTGTCGCCTGAAGACGTGTAGTCGTATTCCTTTCCCCCGTAGCACCTTTAACGGGCTGTCCGTACAAGACAACGAAACGGGGACTATAGGTTGTTCATTAGGATGTATGTAAGTACAATATCGATGTATCGTACCTACTCGGATGTTACGCTTATTTTAAAGCAATATTATGGGCCTAGCCGTGGGAAGTGACCTGAGAACATTCCAGTGAATTTGAGGTCCACGAAACCGATGCACGTACACCGCGAGGTTTAATTGGCAACGACAGTATTTATCGCTTAAGGCTTCATCTGTCAACGGTTACTCTTTGCTCACAAAAATGTACCAAAGATGCTTAGATTAGAGTCTGCGGGCGAATGTCTTGATTAGAGATTAAAGTTTCAATATTCACTCGGTGTCGTGGGTTCTTAACGTTCATTCGTAACGCACAATCGCTCTATATGGTCGAACATATCTTAGTCGTTGAGCTGTATAGGTTTTATCAAGATAAATGTTTATGGACATTCGCGGCAGACTAGGATCGCCGATGGGAAATTCTTTAATGGAAGTAAATTATATTGAAACTCTATTCTGGTAGTTCCCTACAGTGATCCGCAACAGGTGGACGACCTTAGACGATGCCACACCATGCGTCGTAAAAGTATTATTGAATATGTATTGTCGAAGGAATGTGCCAAAAAAGGACCATTGGAGTAAACATGGCTGGTTGGAAATTGTCTATGGTCGTCGGAGAGACGTTTACACAATCTGTATGTAGTTTATTCAATTTAAAAATCTATTTCGACATGTATTTAGATGTATTTTTCATCGTAGCTGTGCCGAAGTTTTTCCAGTTTTGTAATTACTCAACGTAATTAATGAAATTAAACGGTATAATATAGAAATATATCAACATATCCCTGTCGAGTACAAAGGGGTTGGGTTCATTTCGCCCGCGGCTTGTTTCGTCTGTGAATCTGTAAATATTGTTTCTTTTTATATATCTCTATTTATGTATGTCGTATTAAGCGGAGGTTGTAGAGGAGCGGAACTGGGTGTCGCCATGCTGACGCGTGTCCAATGAAGCCTAAGACTTGTTTTAAATTCAGATTATTTATGTAATTTATTGTGTAGGTAACGATAATGTTTAATTGTATATTATTATGTTAATTTTGCCTCTGCGAATAGTGGTTCGTCACAGGGAAATTATTGTTTCGCTCAATTGTTTGAGTTCGTCGCTGGCAACACAGTCGGGCGCGATATTTGCTGTTAGCTATTTGTCGTTGATCAGTGTAAAGTCTAGTCTTTATCCTGTTTTTAATCTATATATCTAATATTTACGAATTGATTGATATTTAAAAATTGTGCGTTTCGCCCCGTTCGGGAGGCTGTAGGCTCGTGGTTAGTTAGACTAAGTACATGTAAAGTATACAGTTATTCGTTCTCCTTTTCAGTATTGTGGTGTATGGTTTTATGATTCGTCGAGTGAATGTTGTGCGCGCTGTTACGAATTACGTACTGTTACATTCGAATAGTTTATACTCCGCCAGATGGCGACAGTGTAGAAGTCGTTTATTGTAATGTGAATGTTGCTTTATAATGTCTACAAAATATATAATCCCATACATACTGTGTCATTTTATTTTGTACCACCCTAGTAATTTTCATGCAATATGCAGTAAGAGATACAATTATAATAACAAAAATTAAACATGTGCTAGATATTAATTTGTTTTCATGTAGGTCATAGAATGTTACAATTCAAGAGTAGGAAATACATCTGGCCAATTGTATTGTATAAAAACTTACATATTGTAACATACGAAAAATTGGTAATAGCTTCTCCTAACTAATACATTGTAGCAAGATTTATGTGAAGCTAAATAATGGATAAATATAACTAAACTTAACTGTCTTTACAGTACTACAACTTGTAAAAAAATTACAAGGTATGTACAAAGCCTCCTAGGATTGCAAATGTCACCATTTAAGTTCAAGAACAAACAAGAGACAAGACATTTAGACATACAAATGTGTCTAATAATAAAAGTGACTTGACAGACTTAAAGAACTCTTAATGCCCAAATTATCCTTATTTCAACAGCCAACAACAGTTTCTTTTAATCTCGTCCTGTATGATGACACTCTTTGTTTGACAACATTTAAAATAGATTTATCTTCTACAAAAGAAGATATTTCATCAAAGTCACTGTTAACTTCGTCTAGAGCACTAAGCAAATTATCTTCCTTACTATACTTCATGTAGACAAACATCAGCATGCTTAAAGAAGTCTTTAACTGCTTAGAGACATTGGTTAGATCTTCACGGTCATCATCAAAAGACTCTTCTTCAGCCTCAATCATATAATGCAAAGTCTTCCACATCTTATAACTTTTTTTAAAGTAATGGTTAACATCACTAATTTCATTGATATTGAGAATAGTTGTTACTGTTATTGTTGACGCCACTATATCTACCAAGTCCATGTCAATCTCTTTCATACTAGCAAGTTTACCTTCATAATATTTAAAAGCCAGTGATATCATTTTCAGTACATCCTGTTTGTTGTCACTAAATATACCAACAGATTTGTCAAAGCCAACTAGATTTAGAGTGACCTGTATACTTATTAATAGTATTCGTTCAAATTGCTCCTTCTCACAGAGATCTTTTTGTTTCTCTGTGATTTCAACATATCCAATTAACAATGATTCAAGTGCTTCTACACTAACAAAGTGACTGAAAAAATCAGACCTCAACTCTTCTACATTGCAATAACTACATATAGTATTAAAGTTCTCTATTGCGTTTATTAATAGGTCCTTGTGTGATGAATTCTTCAAGATGAAGTATAGATAATTTGAATATTCCACTTCTATGAACAGTCTCATCCAAATAGGTACATGTTCACTATCAGCTAGGAATAGGCTTGAGTTTATGAGACGCAGGAGTTGTACTAGGACTAAACTGTCATTACCCTTTATGCATTCAACTAGAGATTTCAAAAATGGGCCAAGTTGTATAAGACTAGTTACTGCCTCCTTCTGGCAACACATGTTTGCAATTATGCCGACAACAACTTCAGCAGTACGCGGTGATTCGACGATGGGCCACGCAAAGCTCAGAAGACTGAGGAAATTATGTCTCTGTAGAAAGAGGACTACATCTCGCTCCGCAGTCATATCCCACAGAGTACATAGGTTATCCTCAAACAGCTGGTTCTGGATTTCATCTTTGAGCGTGTCTAAATTAGCCAATTTCAAAAGAATTTTTAAGACAAACCGCTCGCTATAAGCCGTATCTCCAATTACGTCTCCGACGAGATTTTCCTTGTCATCATGTTCTAAAACTTCAGGTTTCATCTTAGTAAATGAAAAATAACATGTATTTACTTAATAGAAAAGTTAATATTCTCAAATATCAATAAAGTCCCAATTTACTTTTTTGCATCAAAATAGTAAATAAATTTAAGATACACTCTTAAAATATGAAGTTTGACACTCGTATGTCATTATTGATAACCGACTTCTACAGATAAATTACCAAAAGTAAAATAACCACAGAGTACGAACTACCATCCTTTATTGATCGATGATTAATTTGTGGTCTATGACTAATATACCATGAGAATATCAATGGCAGTTTGCTGCTTTGTATATGCACCTTTTAATATTGTTTATTACAGTATTAAGGATATAAGTAGGTATTAATTGTAAAAAAATTTGAATAATAAATCACATCAAGTTAAGAGTAAAAGAAACTACCTACTTTCATAATATTAGCATGTAACACTAGATTTTTGTTGTGTCATATTTAATATAATGGTGGAGAAGACAGAACAGTAAAGAAAATAAACTTTTCATTTAATCTTTACAAATACAAGTAGTTTTACAAAGTATCTATTTCCGTAGATATAAATCGATAAAGTCTTCTTAAACAGCAATAAACAAGGTACAATGTTTTCTCTTATTGCTTAGAGGCTCTGCCTCTCTAAATTACTAGAAAGTAAATCTTATTTCTATGAAAACATTTGATTAACGTATTTGCAATCAACGTGAAATACGTTATTGTGATCAAAATCTTAGATTACAAGTTATATAAAAGCAACACCTTTACATATTGATATTTTCTGATTAAACTTAATGAAGCCGCGATTATGAACACTAGTTCATGGACATATAGGGAAATGTACTTAGCATCAGCTATTGCTTGATTTAAGCACCGCAACATGACTTTAGCATTTTATCTTTCAATCTAACTGTCAGCCTTAACTTTATTCCGCGGTGCTTCATCGTGATCGTCTTGTCGCCTCTTTTTGCCTTTTCCTTTAAAGTTCTTTCCTCTATTATGTCCACCTTTGTTATTTTTGAAGTTCTTCATGTTCTTACGTCGTTTGGCCATCTCTTCCACAGTCTTTTGTAAATAGACGGTCTCTTCATCACCTTCTAGTAACTTGAATTCTATTTCTTTATCATCTATTTTGATTTTGCCATCTGTTAACTTTGCTGCTACTTCTTTGGCTGCATTTTCTTTCGATAGCCGTACCCAACCCTGTGTGTCGCCTTGTTTGAAATCAATGTAAGCCACTTCCGCACCTTAAAGTTATATAATTTGAGTTAAACCACAGTTAATTTTACATTAACGTTATGGTGACGATCTTTATTCTTAAAATTTCAAGATAAATTGATTTTAATTTAACTCAGGTTACATACCTAGTTCAGTAATCGCTTCCTTTATTTTTTCTCGCGTGAGGTTGTCACTTCCCTCATTGAAGAAAAGTACAGTGCCTGAGGGTAGTTTAAACTCTTCTTTTTCTTCATTTTCCTGTGAAACAGGTCAAATTCGTTTAGTGCAAAATAGAACAGCTACATATAAAGTAATAGTGTTTAATTCTTAATAGCTAAGTAAATTTGTTATAACATTGCCGTTACGTTTGAAAATATTTAACATGTTTTAGTTAGATGTGAAAAATGGGTCTCACCTCTTTCTTTTGTGATTTTTTATTTTTCTTGTCTTTAAGAGCAGCATACTCCTCCTGTTTCTGCTGCAAATAGTTTTCTTGCCACAGTAATAACAGCTCTGTGTCATTATACTTTAATCCTTTGTTCTCCATGAATTTTACTGCCTGAAATTAATTTCTTTTTATTAGGTGTAAAAATAATTATAATAAAATATGTAATCTACATTTCTTCATTCTAAACTCAATATAGTCAGGGTTGGCCGATCTTGAGTGACAAAAATAGTAACTTTTGGTATTTCAATATTGGATATAAGATCACTATAATTGATTGTGGCATAATAAATATACAACAGTGTGCAATGGGTTTTAGACAGACTATGTATAAAAATAGATCAAAAGTAGGAGAATAACGGTTACGGAATATAATGGTAACCATTATTTACAGCAAAGAAACATTAACAGTAAAAAATTTTGTCCAATAAAAATATTAAGCAAGTGAGTTGTTAAATTAAGTCATAACATTGTGTTTTAGATCAATTGCTTTAAAAAATGCAAGGAACGTCATCACTTTGGAATTGTTTCGTACAAACCTGGTCCTTCGTCTTAAATGTAGCGAACACTGATCCTTTGAAAAGCTTTTTCTTGCTCTGTTTGTCGAGATACCTTCTCATAATTATATTTTCTACTTCTTCAAATTGTTTGAAGTACACAAGAATATCATCAAGTAAAGAGTCCTTCGGGAAACCTTTGGCATAGACTGTGCGAGCCGTCAACTCTTTACGTCTCTCTTCATTCATCTCAGGTACTGGCAGCTCTGGGTTTCTGCGCACTTTTTTGTTGTCATCTGATACCTAAAATTATACAAAGTTCTTTTAAAATACTAAAATAAATAATATGGTCTAAGTGGGCTGGACTTTATTGATAACTGACACGAACTTGATATACAATGTTATTCCTACGTCATGCAAAACCTGAAAGTAGTTTGTTAAGAATCAGTAGTAGAATCCATTCCAATAGTTTCTATACCACGTTATATTTTTGTCAAATGTATATAAAATTTTTGAAATCTTGGACATTGTTCGATAAATGAAATCCTATATAAGTATAACTAAATAGGTTTAAAAATTCGGGGAACAAAATGCCCAAAGAGTCCAATTTAGCGAGTAGCTGCTTAATCAAGACAGAAACATTATTTTTACCGACGAATGCATTTTTACAAGTCGTGGGCTCTTTAATGTTTACAACAGTCATCACTGGGTTCATGAAAACCCGCGCTAAGCTAGGCCTGACTCATTCCAACACCGTTATTATAAAACGAGATTCGATAAATTAGAGTAAATAATGGTGATTAACATGTTTAAACACGCCGGAATAGTTTTTGTCTCAACAATTACCACTACCAACATGCCATTTAACCATTCTGACAGTCGAAAGCCTGTAAGTGTGATGGGGAATGTTATTGCCAAAAGTTCTCAATACATTCTGTGAGCAGACGATAGGTACATAAAAGTAGTGAATCGTGTAGTGTGAGAAGAGGAAGGGGGTGCGAGATAGCGCGCTGCGTCGGCGCCTGCTCAGTGACCATGATAATCCGGGACAAACAATAACATTAAAAAATTTTATTACTTCGTGACTTTTAATTATTTTTTAATTTTGATTTTTTATCCTGATTCTGCAAATAAAGAGACGTTTGACGTGTTGCTTTAGTATCAACAAAGAATAACCTTGTATATTGAGACATTTGGTTTATTATCAACATACTTAACTAAATTAATATTTAATTAATAAAAATTTAATTAGTTTAATACTATACATGTTGAACATGTTGAATCCGTTTATTATGACTCCGCGTATATTGACCAACCCTTTATTATGTCGTTATTACACTAAGAAGTTTGGTTTTCATATAAAATTCTTTATAACAACGTCGGATATAATGACTTCCCTTACAATGACATGTTGCTTATTATGACCCATTTTCAATAAATTATGATATAATGACCGACATGATTATATTATCTATCTATATATATCATCTCCGGGTACTCGGCAATGTTCGTTGATTCCCGACGACGTTCGGTTCGATGAAGTCGAGAAAGAACCATTCCCTACCGAAGAGGCATTAAAAGTTGCAGAATTATTATCACGATTTGTTCATAGCAATATTAAAAATGATAATTTGACCTTAGCTTCTATACACAATAATATCAGAGACTGTTTTAAATAAAACACTTTAACGGTTTAAAACGCGATATATTAGTTAAACTTATTTGGAAATGATTTTAACTTCGGCCCGATGTTTCGGATGCTTTGCAGCAGCCGTGGTCACGCTTAAACCGTTAAAGTGTTTTATTTAAATGTGTACTACTCGCGTAAACTATAGACAGAGACTGTTTTTACCATTAAATGAAAAAACAAAAGCAGGCAACAATTATAGATTACTTGCATTAAAAAATACATTTGTAGGTGTATCATTTACTTTTACGTGCAATTTTTGTTTTCATTTAATATGTATGTATACATATGTAGTTACTATGTTCTTCTATTAAAGTACCTAAATACATACATATATACACATAAAAAAATTTTTTTTTCACAAAACGCATTATATAAAATAAATAAATAAATATATGATGTCCGCTTATTATGACGTGTTTGTCAATCACTTTCGATGTCATTATAAACGGATTCAACTGTATTTATTCATTATTTTTATAACTGTCACGGTTTAAAAGAAGCAAGAGCAATAGATTTAAAGGAGCTATTTAACATTGTACCTCTAACAATCCAGATGTGGACTTATTAAGTGCATTTACAATGACTTCTTGATCTGTGGTAAGTTTGGCAAGACGGTTGAATTTGAGAAGAATATCCAATGGCACCCAGCCATCATCTAACTGAACCTGTTCCCGGAGAAACTTGTCTCTAGGCAAGTTTAAATCACCTGTAACGCAACCAAGGTAATTACAAATTTCAAGTAAGTGCCAAAAAGTAAACAAAAATAAAGAATGAGTTTAGAACGAAATTTCGACAAATTTGGTTATTTGAGGAGTGGTTTAAGATATTAAACTTAAATTACGAAACTAGTCTTGATCAATCAGTCAAATCAAATTTTTCCTATCTATTTCGCATTAACTTTAACACAATTATATATTAAAATATATAATTTTTACTCATTACAAATATAACGGAAGTTTTAATAATATTATTTTTAATATTTCACGCTCTGCTACCATATTGAGGTATTCGAAATATTTATTGACAGAAGGAAAAGCAAAGAACTGCATGACACATAAAATAAAAAGAAAACATATAGAAGGAGCTAGGACCAAAGAGTTAAGTAGCAGTACAAGATATATGGACGAGCAATATTTGACACGTGTTGTCGCAAATAAACAAAACTAACCAAAGTAATATTCAACCTGACGAATGATTGCATTTTCTAGATCTGAAGTATCTTCATTTTTTCCATTCTCATTGTTCTCCTGACCGTTAGCTTCAGTCGCCACTTCTTTTTCTTCAGTCATTGTTTATTCTGAAAACAAGATACTGTGAGTTCTTGCAAACAGCATTCTTCGTGTCTCGTCAGACAGTCCGTAAACAAAATTATTTCACTAAATACTTACAGTAATAGACCTTGTTCAATTTGATAATACTTGTTAAGAATGATATCTTTTACTGCATCAAATAAAAACTATTCACTGAATATGATGCGCAAAACCACATGGATATTTCACATTGCCGGCATTTTTTTCACGTACTCAGTACTGACACTGACAAACATAGACATATGTGATATGTCAAAGTTTAAACTTACATATAATCCACAGATGTGTAATCAAACTTTACATATCTTTTGATGCATTTTCTTACAATATAATTAAAAAAATTAAACAAAAAGCTTGAGTATTACGGAAGAAAAATGTTGTATCGCAATTGCCTTAAAGCAATTTCTCAAATATATTTGTTAAATTTCTAATTATATCACATCTTAAGATACGGTATTCATAGTAAAAATGACATACGGTACCTGATCAATGACAAGTCGTACTAATTGCAAATTAGGTTATGTTAATAATGAAAACATTGCAAATTGTATTAGTCCCTATGTAGTGTTAAATACAATATTGAATATATTAGAAGGCAAAATGGGCGTAAGGGGACTCACAACATATATCAACCATAATTCCAACGTTTTTATGAAAGATCACAACTTGCATGATACCAACTTAGTGATAGATGGTCACAGCCTTTGCGCCCAATTATACAGATCACTGAATTGTTTTTCAGCTTTTGGTGGAGACTATGACAAATTTGCCAATTATATGAAGACATTCTTTAAAAATTTGAAAAAGTGCAACATAACATCGTACGTTATATTCGATGGGAGCTATGAGAAACGTAAATTAAAAACTGCACACAATAGGCTCCGATCAAAGATATATGGAGCGGCTAAATTGGATCCAGTGACTCAAGGAACCATACAATTATTCCCACTGTTACTTCGTGATCTGTTCAAAGGAGTATTGAATGAAATCAATGTATTGTATACTGTGTGTGAATTTGAAGCTGATGATGAAATTGCGGCTTTAGCGAGATGTTTAAACTGCCCTGTATTGAGTTATGATTCAGACTTTTATATTTATAATGTTCTTTATATACCATTTAACACAGTTGAACTGAAGCCAGTGCAAATTAAACAGGGTGACCAAAAAATTTATGTCATACACTGTCAAATATATAAAGTAGAATTTTTGACAGAACATTTTGGTGGAATAAACAAAGAACTGCTGCCCCTATTGGCAACATTACTTGGTAATGATTTTGTAGAGAAGAAAGTTTTTAGTAAATTTTTTTCCCAATTAAAAATGCCTAAAAGTAAAAATAAAAATGAACAACAGAGGTGTATACATGGTTTATTTATTTGGCTTCAAAATGAATCTTTAGAGTCAGCGATATCCAAAATAATTGGTAGGCTGAAGAAACGGGAAAAAGAGAAAGTGTTTGAAATAATTAAGAAGAGTATCAATGGTTATCATAAAAAAGATTGTAGATCATTAAAATATTTGAATTTATCTTATAACATCCCAGATAAGAATGTTGACATAAAAATGCCACAGGATATGAATGATGATGTTTCAGTAGCATTGGAAGAAGAGCAATCTGGTGATGATGATAATTCATCTGAAGAAGAAATAGAATCAAAAACTGAATTGAATGAATTGCCAGATTGGTTTGCTGATGGTATTAGACAGAAAACAATACCCCATTCTTTCATTAATCTTTACACCCACCATCTGTACTTCTGTTCACCTCAAGCTGAGGATTATATGCAAGAAGACTCACATTTTTGTATTTTACCCATCCTCAGATATGCTTTTGACATTCTGACTGACTTTGAGGAAGAATATTTCACTTATGTCAGTAGAGACAGGGACTGTAATTATAAAAGAATTTTAATTAACAAAGACGTTGGAATTTCAAGATTACTAGAGATTCCCTTCTCTAGACTAACTAAAGTGCAACTACATCTATACTTCTACCATTTCTTTAAAGAAAAATTTCCAAAAATTGATTTTGATGTTGTAGAATTATTACCATCAAATTTTCAAATTTTTGCTCTTGCTATTATTTGGTGGGTCTCGAGTTGTGATGTGTTAATAGGTCAAGTGCATAGCCTGCTTTTATCCTATACATATTTAGAAGCCGTTGATGAAAAGGTGGGGATGCCCAGAGCCAGCTTTAACTTTAATAACAGGTTTTCAAACAAATTGGTTGAGTTGAAAAGTAGACCACACATGGAAATGACACAAGAGATACAGACAAATAAGAATAAAGTTCAATACAATGATTGTTTAATTGCAGCCAGTGTTCTACTAAAACATTTTGAATTGGATGATACCATCAGGAAAAGACCAAAAAGTTATGATTCCAAACGAGTACATGCTTTTGCCCAGCTTCAATGTTGCTTGCTCGCTATTAACTCATTAAATATTCTCTGTGGTAGTCCCTTTGAAGGAACAGACTATGCAAGAAGTTACAATGGCACATTTATTTACAATATAGCAATGAAAGTCGAGAGTGAAAAGGATCCATTGTCATTTTTTAAGGAATACTTAAAAGGAGCTTACAGTGTCCTATGGTTCTACAATAGTTTAAATGTAATTGTAACAAGACTGTTAGACAAAAACGATTTACGGTTTAAAGAAATTGCGACTGGGAGTAAAAAAAGAAGTAGGCGGAAAAAAAAAACTGATGACGAAATTTCTTTTATTATCAAAGGTTTTGAATCAGAGGTTAAAATATAATGTTATTTTTGTTAATTATATTATACAATTTGGTAAATATTTAATGATTACTTTTTTTTCGAAGTATTGCATATATTTACTTTAATTACTAACATAGTTAATCTAATACACTATAACACCATGCATACAAAATAAAAATTGAGAAAGATCTTAAAGATAGCTTTAGGAACCATTACATAACAAAGTTAGGAAAATAATTCACCATTTATAAAAATACAGAAATAATCATATAGAAGTTTATGAAATAGACTATGCCTTCTTTTTACCAATAACTTTAGTGTTAGATGGATTTAATCTTCTGTTAAACTTTTCACCTAAGAAATAAAATCCGTGACCTATAACAATACTTCCCGCCATAAAGAATATTCTCTCTGGCCAGTTCATTTCATCTAATACGGGATAAACCCATTCACCAGTTTGACTATTTACCAGGAATAAGAATCCTAAATAAGAGAAAATAAAGGTATTGGTAATCGCTAGACCAACTTTTCTCGATGGATACGTAACGTCGGATGTTAACATTTCAATTATCATAAATATAGAGACAAAAGTGTGCAAAGGATGATTAATCCATGGCGGGTAAGCTTTCTCCACGGGTGGCGGGAAAATTAAGTCCTTGTCCACAGCGTATACGCCCCAGAATGCCACAGATACATAGACGCCCATAGGGAAGGCTAGCGCGAACAGAGTATCCTTGATTTTTCTAATCGTTGGTGGGTTCTTTGGTACCGGATCATTTGTGCCGAAGACATCATTAGCGAAGGCAATCCACATGTATATAGCCTGTAATACCTGTGAAAAATATCATTAAAACTTACATTGATGCCATAAAAACCAAGAATAAACCATTGTGGTTTTAAGTCTACACAAGAAATTCCAATAATTAAATTCAAATTAGAGAAAACGATTGTAATAGGTTCAGACATTTTAATTTCTCGCTGCTGCTTAAGACCCGTTTATAATTATACGAGTTTTTGGGCCGTTAATACCACAGTACATTTTAATGACATCTTTAGTATTGGTTAATTTGATACTAAAGTAACATATTTTACTGCAGACCAGAGTTTATTTGCTAGAGATATTATTTCTAAATTAAAGATATCAGTATAGGTTATTTTTAGTACATTTAATATGTTTTTTTTATATAACGGCATTGATACATTCATTCGAAGCCAACAATGGGTAAATAACAGCCTTATTAAAACAATTAAAGTCAAACAGGCACAATTAAGACTCTTAAAGGTATACTAATTATTCCTGTTTAATGAACCAGTAGCCCAATGAAAAATAATTCCTACATGTTCATTCGTCTTTTGTTAGAGAATTCTTGGTTATAAGTAATATTAACGCTTGAATACGTATTATTCAAAATGACAGATTATTGAATTAAAGAAGGAGTTAATTAATACGTAAATTAACAAAAAGTGATATTATCTTATATTTTATTGATACAATTATAAAATAATGGTGCCGGTAACTGAACTTCTGACCTTTTCTGAAGGCGACGATAATTTTTAAAGTTGTTGTAGAATTTTAAGAGAAAGGTAACTCGCAAACAGCGTTAAAAACATCGGCCACTTATTTTATGTTACATGTGACAAAAATAAGAATACTTTTAGATGCAGTTTTTGCTGTGAATATCTTTAATTGTTACAGTTAGGTAAAAAGGTGTATTATAGGTAGGTTGATTGATCGAATGATTATAAGTATTCCAACTTCTACTTGCGAGTACTTAAAAATGAAAGTTCTCAAAAACGAGTTTTACTTACGAAATTCCACAAAGTTAGGAAGAGGACCCGCCCTCTGAATGGATAGAGATCTAATCCCGCTTTAAAAGGTACATCCACATAGTTCTGGTCGTACCACAGAAGATACGTATTTAAAACCGCACCGATTATGTGTAATATTGGTAAAGCCATGTTAAAAACGCACAAACGTGCGCCTGCCTCTGACGCACTACGTTTAATGTCGTGTCTTCACTACATAATATCAAAAAGTTGATAATAATTACTGATAAGTATTATTGATGTGGTAACTCACTTCTATTGGGTTAATATTTAATTTTTATAATTATATACCGCGTCACAGTTAACTATTAATGATTCTCACGAGATTTTTTGTTTCTCTGATATTAGAATAGAAAATAAATAAATATGATAGCAGTCAGATTCTGTATTAAAAGTGTCCGTTTATTATTTGTCCGAGATATTTGCATTGTTGCTCATGGTCAAAAGGTGTTTGCGTAAAGTAGTATTAACTGTTAGAATTGGAGATGTATGTAATTTTATGCAACAGCATTGTTGGTCTAGTGGTAAGTGTACCCTATCTATGACTTCAAGATTGGGGCTTCGATATCAGGTAGTGCAATATGTATGTGGTTGTGTACAACCATATTGAAGGATTCAATGAGATTACAGAATATTAAAATATTTAAGGAGTATTTAATTGTAGGCAATATTTATATATTTAAAAGAATAATTTGTACTAAATAATTTCAAGTTACCTAAGAGTTCGTATGTAGGTAAAGAATGTGTCTTTAATCTTTTTTTTGTATTCATATCTACTTAGAAATCAATATAAAAAATAAGAGGCAAAAGCTTAAGAATTAAATATCTTAACCCTTATAAAAACCTATTAAAAGAACCTTCAAAGAAAAATCAGATTACGCTTGACCACAGAGTAACCTTGAAGAGGAAAAAAAGATAATAAACGCCACGTAGGTACATTATATAGATACTTGTAAATCTTCTAAGGTGTTTAAGAACACATCACTACTTTAATAAATATACACAAAACCTGTTTCTGTATCAAAATGATGAAAAAAAAGAAGGATTTTACCCTTAAATCATATATACTTACCTATAGATGTAACACTCGATGTTAGAACGCGATAGAATAATTATAATTTCTGTATGAGGAACAAGGATAGAGTCATATTTTTTTTTGTCGCCCTGGCCAGTTTTCAATCGTGACAAGGAAAGCCATCGTGACAAACAATAAAATTAACTGTTTGATATATTCGCTGTATATATTTACAATGCAATTCTCAATTAATACAATATTCGCTGCAGATAATAGTTTTGTATATTTAAGCAAAAATCAATCATTTTGAGACTATTTATTTAATTAAAAACATTATGGTGGGGTGTAGTAATTATGTTAAGCCGAAAGGCTGCAGCGAGCAAAACAAATGCCTATCTTTGACTCATCTGTGGCCAGGACAAGACCACATCTATAGGTGTGTAATCTATGGTTTTGCAGAGTAGAAAAAAACATTTTATTCAGTACCTTATATTGCATAAATAAATTTAAAATAATAATTAAATAAGTGGTCGCCAACCTGTACGAAATAACGCTATTGATAAAAATATTATAATTACTAATTAACGCATTTACGTATGTAATGCGTCTATCTGTGCGGAAACCGACGAGGTAGGAATATAGAAAAGAGAAAGCTCAAAAGATACAACTTTCGTTTTTTGATATTTCAAACGTATGATTGTAAAATACAAAAGGTGTTACATGATGGGTTATGACCCCGAATCGTGCTTAGATTTTATATTATTGTATTTTGTTCGTTTGTGGTCATCACCCTTGATGTACATTTACTTATATATAGGCACTTACGTACGTAATTTCAAAACTCTCAGACCGAGGTATTTTTATTTGATTATTCCCGTACACCGAACTAATATCCTGCACGACCCGGAATAGACTTCTGACAAGTATACTGGTTAGTAGTAGTAGTAGTTGACCTAGCAGTTACTAGGCAACACTATAACAAATATATTATTATAATTAAAAATAGGTATAGCCATCTAGTTAAAACAGAGGTCAGGGTTCCAATTCCGTGGAGACACGATAACTTCGTTAGATAAGGCAGAAAACTGTTATGTTACATCGATTTTAAAAACAATCATTAAAAAAACCCAAAATTTAAGCGGTACTAAGATGACGGTTACAAACGAAGACAGTTAAAAAAGAGCGATAGGTAATGGTTAGCAACTTAACTATTTCTGAAAATTTTAAATTAGTAAGTTAAGTACTTAATCCTTAATAAAATTATTATTTAAAGATATATCTATTACCTCTTATTAAAAAAAAAACTTTTAACATGGCATTATATAAATTCTGTTACAACAGTTACGTTTTCCTACGAAATGATTTAATTAGGGTAAAACAAAATAAAAAAATATTGGTAGTATTACGTTTTAATAACAAAAGCATATACAACTATTTAAAATCCTGACCTAACGATAGAATGTCTGGTGGTGGTATATAATTAATTTTGATGATAAAAGCCGCATCCTAAGTCCGGTTAGATTAAAAACGAAAAGGTTATCTGCGCATGACCGCCCAATGTGACATAACGTATTCATAGTTCGATTAGATTAACTGTTTGTATTAAATAGGACAAGTTATCTTTATTTATTATCTGTGATTAATAAAAGTTTTAAATGGAGGATCTGAAGAACGCTACCTTAGTTTTGCTCGTCTGAGTTCGGCATGGTACGCTAAAAACGCCTGAAGACCTGGATGGGCTCGGTGTCCCCGAGTGACCATGGTGTGAAGCTGGATCGAATTAAGTTGCTTATGCAGACCAAAATGCATCAGATATCCATAAAATTATTTGTAATCTAATCAATTTGTCGTATTTAAGTTGCATAATACAATCATTTACAGCGATTGCGACATCAATAGATAGACAAGTGACATTTTTATAGAGCTTGGTAAATGTACAAAAATGCACAGACATAAATACTGTCTATAGTTTACGCGAGTAGTACACATTTAAATAAAACATTTTAACGGTTTAAAACGCGATAAATTAGTTAAACTTATTTGAAAATGATTTTTAACTTCGGCCCGACGTTTCGGATGCTTTGCAGCAGCCGTGGTCACGGGGAGACAAATTCAAATAAGTTTAACAAATATATATCGCGTTTTAAACCGTAAAAGTGTTTTATTTTAATGTCTGTGCATTATTACCTTCACCTTATCAGAAAGCTATTAAAAATATTTCTCATTAAATATTGTAACGGTTAAGCGTTTGTCACAATTAAGACGTAACTGATGTCATGCACACATTTTCCTTCGAATCGGAGAACTTAAGTTTTGTATTTCTTTATTGCTGATTGATTTTTCTATATGACCTTTAGAAAGATGGGCTATTAGCTCTCTTAATAGAAAAGTTAATGGTTTAACTACAGTGACCAAGTTTTATTCTGTTGTTTTAAGTTTTCATCTTTGCTAATTCAAGTTGACACGATAAGTTTAGTAGTTATAATTAATCACATATATAGACAGACATCCCATCAATATATAGTAGGTACTTGGTGAGCACGCAACATTATTATTTACAGCACAGATACAACCGAACGAACTGAGCATAAAAAACGATATTAGCAAGATTAGAAACGAATACGATTATTATTTTGAGATGAAACTAGTTATTTTTTTATAGTATAACGCAAATAATAAATCGTGTGTATCAAAATACTAAGAATTATCAAATACTTCGTTACTGTGCGATGCCAAATATTGAACTTCGATCTGCAACTAATAAGATTTATTCATAACATCGTCTGCAAAAACATTTCAAAGTTCAATCTTAAAGATAGCAATTGGTTAGCAAATCAGGTTTCGTTACTCGTTGATTACATTGATAATAAATTTATACGCTCTGCAAATTGTGTGAGTTTTTAGAATCTAGATTCTTCATGTAAATTTTCACACCATACGATATGGTGTGAAAAGAGGTAATATGCCATTACATCGATTTAACGTGAACTAATTTTAAATAAATTAATTAATTCTTAATTACAATTTTACTAATGTATCGCTTTGTAATTTTTTAACATTTTTTTACTACACAGTTAAAACACTTACACTGTATATGTTCGTTAAATTATGTTACAATTATATAAATTACAAGTCATAAAACAGACAATGTAATGAAAATTTTAAAATTGTGGTGATTAATTGTTTTTATTGATAAAGCATAGGAGATAGACTAAAGCATGTTATTATGTCTTTGGTTATATTTTTAAGTTCTTATACAAGATACGATAAAGATTTTCATCGTGTGGTCACTTGGAAGGGGCGTGCTTAGAGACTATGTAAGGAGCTTATACTCTCGTATGACTTAAGATAATACCATATTATATTGACCGCAACTATCTTTAGACGGTGAAGTAATTTTTACCCGACTGGATTTTAAATGGATAGTACGAATATCGAAACGCCGTCGCATGTCTGGATGTCATATGGTTGAGTTCTCTCTCAACTCTCCTTCCATAAACTAAATTGCTTCGTTGCTTCTCCTACTTTGTTATTAAAAATATAATTTTTAGAAACTTTACATTGTTATTTTAGCTAACCTAATAAAATATTTTGACAGAAAGGTATTTCAAAGTATTTGCTAAAATGAATTTAAAATCTTAATTCAAAGATTACCGATAGGGCTAAATGATAAACTTGCAAAACAGCCTCCAGCCGATACTGCGTAAAATATATTCGGTTTTTGCTTTAATCCCTTGTTAAAAATGGAGCCGACACATCCATATTCATAGAAACTTACTTTGTCCCTGCCCAAGAATACGAAATTGAGACATATTTCATGAATATTCACTATACAACGCGCAGACATGAGCGCCCAGTGTCTGCGTATATTTTAAACAAAATGGCCGTCTCTCATGGTCTATGATTATCATTTCTAAAAATGTCAATTCCAATGGAAGCGTGAATTAAAGTTTCTAATAAGTTTATTAATTCTAAATGATTAATTGACAGGCCTATATTTACTAACCGTATAAAGAAAAATTAAGTTTTTCACTTTACACCAAAATGACAATGAACGATCGATGCATAAAAATAAACAGATTCGTTAAATTATTATTATACACAGTAACGTTGAAAC